GCGTGTACACCTCTGCAGGATGGGGGACAGTCTGCACCAGCAACTGCAGTGGAGCTGCAGCCTCAGGAGCTGGTACGCCCAGCTGCCAGTAACTGGTAAGACTGGGATCCAGCAGCCACCTACTGTGCACACTGACTGTCTGCACCCCATTGCTGGAGGGATCCATACTGTACATATCCATACGTTTTACATATATCCCCACTAGCAGGCCTCCATCCTGCTCAGCCAGAAAGCAGAGCAGGATTAGGCCTCTGGTGCTGTTTTGTGTTCTTGAGTGCTGTGTGTCTGCATTATATACATATAAGCACAACTATGTGGTATACACATGTACATGTATCTACAGGGAACACAGGCACAGTCTTGCCACTTGTCGGAGCTGGGGTCACAAAGTTGTGGCAGCCTTTCTTCTCTGAAGAAGAATTCAGCTCAATTCCTGTAACAAAATCCACTAACAGTAAGTTTTTACCTGAGAACAATCAGCCTTGGCTATTTCTGCAGTAGCCTGGAGTACATTACAAAGACTCTCTCCATTTTCTTGGATTAGCAGATAAGCCAGCAGAAGAAAAACATGGGCAGGGACTTGAGTCGTAACAGGTAGCAGTGATTTCACTGAAGATAACCAGGTAATAACTGCAGACTTCTCTTTCAGGAGATCTATGATCTTCCAGGTTGTATACAATGAGGTGTAAGAGCTGGTTATGGGGAAAAGGAGTTTCCAGGACACCTGAGAACAAGCAAAACAAACGAAATCCTCAAACAAATAATGTTTACAAACCACTAAAGAACAAAGAAGAAACATAACTAATCCAATTCTGTCATCCAAAACAAATCTTTTTTTTTTTTTTTAGGGTCCCAACGCAATAAATATAAAGAATAAATTGCAATACATTTCTTTACAATCCTTTATATGAGCTCTTGCACTAAGGATGTTTGAATGGGTTGCTAATTCTCTATTCACGAGGTCCCCCTTTATTTGGCATCCATCATTCCTGTTCCTGTGGGTAACTGCAGTGCTACTTCCTCACTAAAATGGACACTCCACAAAACTGGAGTACATTAAAAGCTTCCATTCCTGACAATGACAAGTGCATCACAGAAGTGTGAGTATCATCTACAGTATTTTAAGGAAATTCTCTTAACTTTTGATAGTACTTAATAAAACACAGTTTAAGTTATTTAACATTATGTTTTTTGTTTAACTGTTTCACTTCTTAGAACAAGATGTTCTACAGATGCAGTCACGGAAGATAACATTTAGAACCAGGAAAGTAGTAAAATACAAATGAGGAATCTTCCTAACTCAGGTTTTTATATATGTAAAAGTATATATATTTTAAAGCTCCTGCAAATTAATGCCGAAGTTCAAAGTTTTTAATTGAAACAAAAAAGCTTAATCCAAGACAAACATCTCTTCCCTACAAATTCTTTGTTTCCTTAGAAAATGCAATGTTTTCAGAAATGTCTTTCCATTATCAAGACAGTAGTTGTCAGGCAGTAATTAGAAGAACAACATTTATACAAAAATCAGGTCAACACAAAGTATTTGAAAAGAGGTCTCCAAATGAATATTAGAAATGGAATTCAGACTCCAACAGGACACGGCCCATTCACCTGTAAATTAGCAGGGAAAAAGAGTTTTTAACTGGCAAAATCTGTTCTCCATAAAACTGCAGAATTTCATTTTAATCACACTGTTGAATGCCATGCAAATTTATTTTTGCTAGTGAAAGGCAGAATGGCCACTTTAGATGGCCTTTGAAAAATAACATTAAAATTAGCTTATTCCATTACTTATGCATTACAGTTACTGTATGTGAAAAATTCAGCAATATATAATGCAATCCCTCTGGCTGGCAAGATCACTTGGAGCCAAAAATCTCTTCTGGATACAGTTCTGAAACTGCCATTTATTCGTACAAGTGAAGTTTATCCAAGGACATACATCAGGCTAAGAAAAGCTTCAGGATCTGTGAGTTGTACTGTTTCATTCCCTGCCCCTGCAAGATGGTAGAACTTGAAATCAAGGTCAGACTACAAGAGTTTTTTTGTTGTGTTTTGTTTTTTGGGTTTTTGTTGTTTTGTTGTTTTTTTGGTTTTTTTTTTAATGCCTGGAAAAAATTGCTAAAATTGGCAGAGCTTGAAATACATTGGTATTTCCCATTCCACATTACCTCCCCAAAGGGTTTGCTACACAATTGTTGTCACTCCCTTCTCCTGTTATTACAGCTGCATGAAAACAAGCTATCAACACATTTTTACTTTATGCGGCACCCCATTCAAGCAGTTTAAGCAGAAATTTCAGTCTGCCAACACTATAAGATATATATAAATCCCTCAGTGGCAAAGTAGAAGGAGAGGTTAGCCACATTCTACAATTTTTCAAAATCTTGGGACTACAAGTAGAACAACTACCCATTACCATCACTGCCAAAAAAAAGCCACTGGAGAAAATAAAGCTTTTGGGTGTGGTTAAAAGCAAAAAAGCAGCATATCAGCTATGGAAAGGCAGCCACATACCTATTGAGGACTACACAAATGAAAAAACATCTTGTAAGTTTACCAGTTTCTTTTTATCCTTCACGCCTTCCTCTTGTAATATTCCCAAAAGATTTACTGCTAGCTGCTGTCTGGTAGTTCCAGAATCATCCTCTGATAAGCAGTCCCCAACTGTTGTAGAAGATAAGATCTGTAGCACAGGCATCACCAAAGTAAGAGCTGTGGTTGAGATGTTCTGGGTTTCTGAACAGGAAAGGATCTTGTAGGCTGTTTAAGACAAGGTGGAAAAAAAACAAAGATCATGTAGGGAAAAAAGAACTAACATAATTTGTACTTTTAGGCACGACAAAAACACTTCTAGGAAACACTCTTGTCAAGCAAAGTAACAGTCCCCAGAACTACAGTATGTGCATACTAAAGTTAAAGTGCAGGAGACTTATTGGTAAAACTCTGATTCTGTTTACAGGCCCATAAATTTCTGTTGTTTACAGCAAAGTACCCAATGGCAGCAAGAAACACCATAATGGAATGTAGCACAGTCCGTCAGTTTTACTGGAACCCCTCCACTTATCAAAAACTGCTAAGTTGAAAGCTTAGCCAAACATTGCCATGACTGTCAGGCCTGCTCCCTTAAGATCACTCAAAAGAAACCATTCAGGATGCATGAATCTCCACTGAGAATATCCCGTTGTTAACTCAAAAATGACACAGGTAAGCTCCAAGACAGTAGGGATCTTAGAACACAATAACATCCATGGAAAAAGTCAGCGTAGCAGGAAAATTTATTGCCATTAGATCAAATGTTACTTTTTAAATTCATGAAGTATCCTGGTTATAAAATAAAATTTTACCACCCAATCCAACTTCAGGGGAATGCAGTGTTTATTTTCATAAACATGAAGAAACAAAGACACAGTCTTAAGAGTGTGGCTTCCCCTTCCATAAGAAGAGCTTTACCTAGACTCAAGACAGATTTTTGCTGACTTTCTGGTGTTTGCAGCAGTAGAAGTGCTAGCCCAATTATATACTGTTCCACTGGAAATACCTACAAGGGAAAAATAAAGAGGTTCAAGCCTTCTTTGTTTTTCAGCAGCATTATACAGTACAAATTGGCAACAACCAAAAATCTCTAAGGAGTTTCTTCATGAATCATAGTGAGTGCACACACAGTGACAAAGCACATGCAATGAAGAATATGAATAGTGTAAAAATAGCATTTTAACTGAGTAACTACATTTTAAATTGTTACTTTGTTCAAACCATTTTAGCTCAGTTTAAACCAACTCCCAACTAAAAGGTTAACTGGTATATATAGAGAACCAGTTAAGTTTTTGCCTTCTGAAGGTCTTCAACCAAGAAAAAACCCCAGAAGTTTCTGAAACAATACTGGTCACTTGCAGATGAATGCCATGTATAAATGTCTCTAAATATTGTCTAAACATGACATTCTTTAAATTGAATACAACTATTTTACTTTCCTCCCCCCATGAACTCCTACCTCTTTTAAGAGCTCAAAGTTGTCCTCTATTAAGGAGATCAGAGAGGAGCATTCTCCCGTTACATTTAAACACACTTCACAGAAGCATAACAGTTGCAGACAAAACTGGGATAAATGAACTTTCCAAAACACAGGGTAGCGCAGTAGGCTGAGGAATAGCTCTTGCAGAAAAAACAAGGCTTCTGTAACTTGCAGTAAGTCTTTAAGCTGTAGAGATATAGTTAAAAACAAAACCACCACATTCTGGTTTAGTTCCCTTTCCCTCTCTATGCAGAATTCCAAGTTTAGAATTAGTTCTATTAGCTCTGCAATGTTTCCATAGCAAATATTATTAAGACTTTGAAGAAACACATTTATAAACTCTTACCCAACTTCCCTGGAAAAAAAACCCCAATAGATGAACTGCTGTTTTATGTTTTGAAGTAAAATTAGAAACACGTGAAAGAATTAAAAAAAGGTTTCTTGGTAGCTGATGAGAAAAATCCTTTTTCCCTCAAAAGCAGTACCAAATTCAGCCTTTGGAGTTCTCTCAGCAACATAAAAAAAATTGTGTGGGGATTTCATATAGCAGGTAAATATTCCTGTAATGGAAACATCCTACCCTAGGATATTTCCTCTGTAACGTAATTTTAAAATCTGTTTGTTTGCCAGTTTGTTAGATTTCTGTAGTAACAACAAATCAGGTCTACAGGAAATGGAAAAGAATGCTGTATTTGCACACTTGAAAAGCAGTACTACTACTACTACTACTACTACTATCATTGCTTTGATAGAAATTATTTGTAAAAGGTGGGGTCAGGCAACAACTGTACCTGAAGGTGTGGAATTAAATCACACAGAAACTGCAGTATCTGGCATTCCAGCATGGAAGGTGCTTCTTCGTGCTTTGGACCATGAGGCTGAAGTAAGATCTTAAGCAAACCCATTCGCAGTTCAGCATACTCTCGTAACTGAGATGGTTCGCAATACAGGTATCTTAGAAATGGAGCCATGATGCCAACACATGAACGCTGTGCCCTGAAGTTCAAGAAATAGGTTTGCCAAGACTGCTTTCTACTGAAAACTTAACAACAAGGAAATCTCAAGCAATGTGACATTCCCTGCAATTTACAGGATGCAATTAACAGAAAGGTATTATGAAAGGCATTACCAAATCCCACAAAAAACCTTTGACTTGTTAGTATGAAGTACTGTCATGAGACAACACATAGCAATGATACAATGAAGTACAATTGTGAAAAGACTCAATATTTAAGAATACTACTCAATATACATGTGCAGATTATGACACTCAATTTTATTCTTTTTTTTCCTCATCAATTCAAGAAAGTGACATTCTGAATGTCATGAGACTAGTGTGCCATTCTGAAGTAGCATTTGGACAAGGCTATTCAGAAATATCTTCTTAAAACACGTAAAACCTAATTTCAGTTAGAAAGAGCTATCCATTCCTTGACAGTTTTTGCCCAATGGTCTTAAACAATTACATGAAGTAGGTCTTGCTTTAACCAAGATGGCTTCCCACTAAGAAATTTATTGTAGAACAATTATTTTGGCTTAACCATGTTAAGAATATCAGCTGTTCTTGACATTATAAAACATTCAAATAAAGCTAATGATCAATACATTAAAAAATATACAGGGAATCAAAATAAAAAGTCAGTTTTAAGCAAGACTCAGCCCTGATGCACAGCTTTGCAAAGAAGTCAGCAATACATCTACATCAACTTATGTGGCACTTGTTCATGTCATGCTTAGTGGCATGGTTTACCGGTGGACTTGGTAGTATCAGTTAATGACTGGACTGGATCTTAAGGGTCTTTTCAAACCAAAATGATTCTATGATTCTGTATTCTCAGTCTAGAACATTATTCCACAGAAACCTTTGCACAAAAAGCAGCAAAGCAAGTTTAAAATATTTTCCATTTCAGCAAGAACAACTCCTGTTTTAATTCAAAAGAAGCCACTAGCAAAAAATCCACTATCCATTCCATTGTTCAAACATCTGACAGGACTCTTGACAAGTCCCAGATTTAGCAACTGAATGGAAGCACAAGTCTGCAAACAGTATTTTTTAAAATACTCCGATCAATTACATTGATGAAAACACACTTCTGTTTGAAAGTCTTACTGTCGATTATGTAGTCTAGGCCTACTGGAAATTGAAGAGATTAATAAACTTACTTGTTTACTCAGAGCAATAAAACACATAAGTCAATTTTACTGTATTATTACTCTGTTAGATTTAAGTCTTCCAGAACACAGGACAAGAGAGATACTTTTTATCTGAAAAGCATACATATAGGTGTAAAATCACTGACAACATTTGTCTTTAAGGCTGCTAGAGCATTTGGTATCCTACACTGAAGCTTTATTGGACAAGTTCCTTGGAGGTAAGCATGAAGAAATCTTGAAATTGTTGGTAGTTTGGATATTTGTTCATTGTTAAAGTTATTTTACATTAAAGCTGTGCCACTCATTTTTTCTGGTGTGGTTTTTTTTTTTTAAATCAAGACGCATACATCATTTTCAAAGAACTCATCCATTACTGTGAAATATAATCATCTGTGCTTTCCCTTTATCATCCCACCATTTTGTATAGATCAGTTAGACCTGCATGCTAGTCATCTTTATTGACTAAGCAGTCAAAATCTTGACAAAGCAAATAATCAAAGCTATTTAAAAAGAATTTCCAAAGGTGCTATCAATTTTGCACCAATTTTTCCACATCCATAAAAATTTTATCAACATAAAAGAAAAAAGGAAAAACTATAAAAACCCATTTCTGATGGATTATCCTAGTATCTCATTAATACTCTATTTTCAACCTTTAAATGGTATAATTAAATTTTATAATTACGTTTTTCAAAAAACAGAATTCTTACTGCTCATTGCAGCTGCCTTCAACAAAAAAGTTACACTGATACAATTCAGTTATCTACATTTGCTATTTTTAAATAATTCATTCATTTACCTCTCTGGACACTGATGGAAAAATACTGTCACCTGCTGCAATAGAACTGGCCAGCAATCAGGCCTGTTTTCAAGGACACTGATTAATGGATGAGGAGTGCTCCTGAAACACAAAGAAATCACATTTGGAACTATAATGCAGAAAACAAGTGTGCAAAATAATTATCTTCAAAATAAAAGCAGCTATAGAAATAGACAATTTAACCCCCGGTTATTACCAACTCCCTTTACCAGGTTTGCCAAGACTGCTACACTGCCAAAAAAGCACATTTTACAAGAACTTCAGGAAACAAAATAAAAACAAAATCTCTATTTGAAAAGTCTTAGTCTGATTTTTTTTCTTTAAATAAACATCTACGGATCACTGTTCAAATGTGTGGCCTGATTTGAGGCATTGGTAGCAGCACCAGACTCTAGCAGTGGGCTCCAAGTAATACTCACAGGAAAATTTGAACCACACATCACACACCACTCCAGTCTTTCACGTATAGGTACAAATCTTCAGCACCTGAGATCTCAAGAGAGGCTGCCTCATTTTCAGACCCTTACCATACCTTTTAAATAGAACAGTAAGAATGAATTTAAAAAAAAAAAAAAGAGTGAGAAGGACAGCACCCACTCACAACACAAACACACTTCTAACAGAACATCAAGGTTCCTTGTGTGTGTTTACAGGCTAATTCACTCTCATGCATGTGAGCTGTCTCACTTAAAGTATAGCACATATGGAACACTGCAGTGAAGAAACGGTAAGTTTTCTTGTTATACTGTTAATTTTACTACAGTGAGTGATATAGCCAAATAAGCCTTTTAGAAAGTATTTATAATGGTGTTTGTTATTGTTTAAAAACCCATGAAGAGCAGAAATTCCAAGATCTGAAGCAGTCTTTTTCTTACAGAAGACAACATACACTGAGACACACTTGCATTCAACAGCAATGTGCTATGACACAGGCTTCACCTTGAGCAGTGCCAAACAAATCCAGCTCCCGGTGAAGTGAATGACATCAGCAAGAATCCCATAAAAGAATTAAAAATATGTATCTAATTTTTTTCCCGTTATAGAGCAAATTTGAATTGCATAATGTGATGGTGCACTAAGGCATCCCTTAAGTAATCTAGAAGTAATACTTACCTGCTATAAAAAGGAATGTTTAGATTCATGCTATGCCTACTAAGATACTATTTCCGAAAAAACATCATCTAGCAGACATATCCTTAAACTAGAAGAGGTGCTCCTTACTATGTTATTTTTACATTCTCAATGTTAACTTTGTTTGAATTCTGGGTAACTGACTACTTTTGAGGATAATCAGAGAGTAATAAACATTGCCATTAGCTGAAAGGCCCACAAAGTTATAAAAGCTGGTTACAGATTATTTTGCATACCTAATACTTCTTGTTTTCTTCATAATGTGGTCAGAATACAGCTAGCAACCAAAGGAACTGCAAATGTCTACTTCAATAGAAGACAACAGTCAAATACAACAATATGACCCACTGAACTCTGCAGCTGTGTAGCTCCAGTAACAGTACATAACTGTGGTGTCCTTACATGCTACAAAACAATTCTATAAAGAAATCTGAGATACTTGAAGAGAAGATAAGTTTTGGTCAACCGCTTGTCTTCAAAAACTTCAAACTACATTGGATCTTAAGGTGGAAGTAAGTAGGAAATTTGATCAGACTAACAAAGCACTTCTTGCCATGGAAGGATATTCAGAAAACAAGAGGTGTTAATATGCTTTTGGGCATCAACAAAAAGGCTTTTATTTATTGAGATACTTAATTGCAGTTCTCAGGATATAAGCCTAGAAGCAGCTGGTCTAAATCAAGAGAATATTTATAGTATAACTTGTCAGCAAGAAGGTTAAACCAGATTTAGGTAATTTCTACTCAGACATGAAGACAACTGTGCCTTTAAGAAAACAGCAGAAACCCAGAGTAATGCAATTAAGTCAGATAAAGAAAACTGTTGGTAAGTCATCTCCATACGCAGACACACAGGAGCCTGTACACTATCAAGACTTGCAAGTATGACCACAAATCTATGTCCAAAATCTACTTGCCATCAACATTGCAAATACTACTAATTTACTGTCATAACACATAAACATGAGAAAGTTTAAACATTCTTAGTAAGGTGACCTAAATAGTGGAAATAATTACAAAATCAATAACGTAGATGAACAACTAAAAATACTGCTTGAGCAATAAAATCAAGGAAAATGATCACACATATGGGCTAATGGAACTGAGAGAAATTACAAGGCTATTGTACCTAAAGACAGAAGGAAATTTAGCAATGGAACCTAACATGTTATATCTAGCACCTCTATAATGAAGCTGAAAAGAGAAGGAAATTTAACATGTTGTATTTAAATCTTTATAAAAAATAATTAGTAGCTTTTAGCTTACTCTGTTTAAAAAGGCAAGTCAAATTCGGAGGTGATCTCATGCTAAGATAATGAGACCATATACACACCCAGGAAAAAGAATTAAAAATAAAATAGCTGGACAAGCTCTTCAGGAGCAGATATTTAGGTTTCTGTCTGGTTTAGCTGAACAGTGTTTAAGCTAGTGCTGTCTTAGCATTTAGAAAAATCACATGAACAAAAAAGAGAAGAGAAAAGCAAAAATAAAACAAACTGCCTCCAAACCATGCAGCAGCATGAAAGAATATAGTTTTGCACACTTACTGATCCATGTTCTAAGAAATAGAACATTAAATGAGATTCTATTTGGAATTGCCAAAAATCAGTCTGGAAGTACCATTGCCTAATGGGTATAGGGGAAAAAAACATTAACAGGGGCAGGGTGCAGTAAGCAGGTCACAGTAGATTTCACTTTCAGCACTGAAGTCTTTGCAGCCTATGACTAGGATAATTCCAAGAGTTGCAGGTGCCGTCTTACTTGACTGTTGTACTCAGAGCAAAAAAATTTACCTCAGCTCTCTGTGCAACATGCTCCAGTGCTCACAGTGAAATATTTTTCCTTATAATCAGCCAGAAACTCCGGGTTTAAACTTATGCTCACTGCCCATTGATCTTCACCCAAGAACCAGGCTCTGCATTCCTGGTAGCCTTTCTTCTTCTTCATCTACCAAAGGTCTTGGGAGTCTGGGGAGGTCCCTGCTGACTGGAAGCTAGACAACATTATTCCAATCTACAAAAAGGTCACGAGGGAGGACCCAGGGAACTACAGATCTGTTAGTCTAACCTCGCTACCTGGGAAAAATTATGGAGAAGATCATACTGGGTGCTACTGAAAGGCATTTAAAGAATAATGCAATCATCAGGCACCATTAACATGGGTTCACAAAGGGAAAATCCTGTCCAACTAATCTGATTCCCTGCTACGACAAGATCACCCACCAAGTCGATGAAGGGAACATAGTAGATGTAGTTTCAGTAAGGTTTTTGACACTGTCCCTCACAGCATCTTTCTGGACAAGCTGTACAGCTGTGGGATAAGCAGGTTCACAGTGCTCTGGGTGAAGAACTGTTGAACTGAAGGTTGAGGATCTGAAAAATCTCACTGCAAGAGTTGTAGTGAATGGGGCTACATCTGGCTGGTGGGCAGGCACCAGCAGTGTTCCTCAGGGCTCAATTCGAGGGCCAGTTCTGTTCAATATACTTACCAATGATCTAGATTCAGGAGTTGAATGCACCATTAGTAAGTTTGCTCATGATACTAAACTGGGAGGTGCTGCTGACCATCTTGAGAGACAAGAGGCCTTGCAGAGGAAACTAGATAGACTGGGGCACCGGGCAATCACTAATGGGATGAAATTTAACAAGAACAAATGCCAGGTTCTGCACCTCAGATGGAGTAACACCAGGCACAAGTATAGATTGAGAGAGAGACAGCCCTGCAGAAAGGGATCTCAGGGTGCTGGTTGACATGAAGGTCAATACGAGTCAGCAGTGTGCCCTGGCAGCCACGAGGGCAACCAGCATCCTGGGGTGCATCAAACACAGCATAACCAGCCGGTCAACAGAGGCGATTATCCCACTGTATTCAGTGTTGTGTGGCGTCACCTTGAGTACTGTGTGCAGCTCTGGGCCCCTCCATTTAAGAAGGATGTGAAGGTACCTGAATGCATCCAGCGGAGAGCAACAAAACTGGTGGAAGAGCTGGAAGGTATGTCCTGTGAGGACTAGCTAAGGACTTTCGGTTTGTCTGGTTTGGAAAAAAGGAGGCCGAGGGGCAACCTCATTGCTCTCTGCAGCTTCCTGAGGAGGGGAAGTGGAGAGGGAAGTGCTGATCTCTTCTCCCTGGGATCCAGTGATTGCACATATGGGAATATTTCAAAGTTGCACCAGAGGAGGTTTACACTGGAAGTTAGGAAGCATTTCTTGACCCAGAGAGTGGTCAAACACTGCTACAGGCTACCTAGAGAGGTGGTCAATGCCCCATGGCTGTCACTGTTTAAGAGGCATTTAGACAATGCCATTAATAATATGCTTTAATTTCTGGTCAGCTCTGGAGTGGTGAGGTAGTTGGACTAGATGATAGTTGTAGGTACCTTGCAACTGAAATAGTCTATTCTATACATTCTTCAGTCCTTGGGAAGACTGCTGTTAGGCCCCCTCCAAGTGGTATCTTCTGCAATTTGAACATGCCTAATTCCTTCAGCGAACAGCATCTGCTCCAGCCCTATGACCATCCTAGACGCCCTCCACTGAACTTGCTCCAGTTTATCACTTCTTCCTTGTACTGGGGGCCCTAAAACTGGACACAGTACTTCAGATACAGTTCGGTAAGTGCCAAGGAAAAAGCATAATAATTTCCCTTAATCTACAGGCTGTGCTCTTATTCCAGTACCTATCTTTCAAGTCAGTTATTAAAAATCTGGAGAAGTTTAATTATTCTCATGGATGTCTCATGAAGGCCTAGAAAAACACATCTCACAGTATAAGCACAAGCTAACAAGGATTAGATTAAGGGATAGGGTCACTGCAGCCTAAGTACCTCTCTGAGAACAGAAATTTTATACAGCAAGAAGTGTCAAGCTAGCATACAAAAATCAGAGGTTGGCAACTGAAACAGGCAAATTCAGACTGAAGAGAGAATCTATTTTCACTGAGGAAAAATCAGTCACTGGAATAATTTTCTGAGCTCAGAAGACAGGTTTGGGTTATTTGATTGGTTGGTTTTTGTTGTAGTTTGGGTTTTGCAGGTTTTTTGGAGGTTTTTGTTTGGTTGGTTGGGTTTTTTTTTTTTACACTGGGTTCTCCTCCTGTTCTTCAAACAATTTTTCTTCCAAAGAGGTGGGTTTCTGTTCAGGCAAATAATTTGAAGACACGGGGATTTTCAGAAAGCTGGCTGATGTGATGGACTACCTGGCATGTTTAGAAAAACAGATACTAAGATCACAAAGTATGCCTATAATTACAGGTCTGGCCTTCGTGTCTGGGGCTAGAAGCTTGGCACTTCCTACATTCATTTCTCTAAAACTGGTCAACTTACATGCATGGTCTTCATATGTCCACCTTCCTTGATGTAGCAAACATTTTACTGAAGTTAAAAGTCTTTTACAACCTGTATACAAATACTATAAAGGGTGAGGTTATTGCCTTAGTGCAACTTTCCAAGATAACAGCATGCAAGAGGCAAAAAACTCATTGGTTGTTTAGCACTTGAATCCAGCAACATCATAGAGAAGTTCATTTATCAGGGAGCAAGCTAGAAATACTGTTCATGTACCATGCTAGGACCTTGGAAGTGCACTGCCCTGTATAGACATACAGAGATAGCAGCTGCTTATTTCAGTACCTTTGTCATATTATAAGAATTAATTACCTTTCCTAATGAAAGGAATGTCTCTAGTCATCTAAGTGCTGCTATGACACTGAAGTCAGTGGAACTTTCATAAAGTCAGCACATGTAACACAAGTCTAAATTAAAAAGGCTTACTAGCCAGAAAAAAACCAAGCCTTTTATGACAGATTTTGTGTGTTCTGAAACTAATATAACTGCACTGAACTGGATGATGAAAGAAATCTGCTAAGCTCCATAGTGATCAGTGATTAATAATGAAACACTAAAATGTGCAGCCTGAGAAACCTCCATTTGATAACGCTATTAGCTATAAGAAAAATGAGGTGTGTAGATGCAATTTATTGTCAACACTAACTTAAAAATTGCTAGCACAGCACTGTAAAATGCACATCTTTAAATGACATGACAGTGCTACTACCCTAAATTACTGCCGATAGGTTCAGAATAAAAACTAAATGCACACAATCAGGACAGCAGCTATCCACCTGTAAATAGTAAGGGTCTAGATGTGCTAGTTTCAGCAGGGATACAGTTACTTTTCTTCCTGACAGTTGGTATAGTGCTGTGTTTTGGATGTGGGATGAAAAGAACATTGATAACTTTTTTTTCTTTGGGGGCAGGAGGGAAGTAATAATCTTTCTTCATCCTACCTTCTTTCTCCCGTGTCTTCATTCCGGCCACATCCTACTATGCTCTTTTTCACAGGGAGCCTCGATTAAGTTGCTTTAACTTAGCCTCTACTAGCAGGAGACTTTAAATAAGTTTATTTGCTACTAAAGAGAAAGTTTCCAGAAGAGTTCCATCCTACTACCCTTCATTACCTGCCTTTTCAATTAAAACTGTTCTATAAGAGTGTGGACTTTGTAGAAAGAACAGATACAGCTAGAAAAACAAAGGCATACGGGATTTCAGGAACATAAGTGCATCCAGCAGTCCAAAGTCCATTTCACTTTTCTTCCCTATTTCATTTTGCTTAAGACATGACTCCTGACTTCCAAATAGTGCCTTTTATACAGTTAAAGCATATTAGTTACAGCCTGCTACAATGATACCTCCTAACCTCATAAAAAACAAGTTGGAAAATGTTCATGACATCTACCAAGCCGGGACCTTCTCCAGAAAAAAATACAATAGTGGCTGTCAATGTCAGCACTGACTCACGGTTTCTCAAGACCTGGCTGAAGTCACTATGATGTACCCTTAGGAAGGTTGCTATTGCGTAACAAGCAGCTTTATATGAATAGCTCTGGATGCTACTTAAATGATCTTTAAATAATTTTATTTTTACATGGCAACCACTTTAACAGTAGAAGTATTCATACTTTGATAACAGGAATAAAGCAGGAAAAACAAGTGAGGGGAAGTGCTCCACAGTATTAAAATAAAAGACTTATTAAAAGGACTAGCAATCACAATCATCCAGCTACTGTGTTTGAACAAGTCCCAGTATTTATTCGTTTTTTCTCACACACAGCCTTCATGTTGCCATTGCCCCTTTTGGGCTTATGGTGGCAATCTTATCCCTGTACTATAGAACTCCTTAAAACTTTCAACCAAAAAAAAAAATAAATTACAGAATCAGGCAATCATTTAGGTTGGAAAAGACCTCTCAGAGCATCTCGCCCAATCCACGTGCTCAAGCACAGTCAGCTAGTGAAGACTGCCCAGGATCGCATAGAGTCAGGTTTTGGTATCTCTCAAGGATGGAGATTCTACAACCTCTGTGGGAAACCTGCGCCAGTGTTTGACTACCTGCATAGTAAATTAAATAAAAAAAAAAAAAAAGACAGACTAAAAGCCACTATCAACACTACTTAAATTAAGTTTTCTCTGGAAATCAAACAAAAAGTTATTACGGTATCTAAATAAAACCAACATGAAACTAACCTGATTCCATACAGATTCTGAACAGCCTCGTCTCCATCTTTTCCCAGTTGAATAGCTTGAATTTGTAGTAATTTCCAAATAGTTTTTACTAAACCATGCAGATTCCTGTTGAGAAAAATCAATACATTACTGTCATGTATGTAGTTACATTAGCTGATTCTTCCATAAGAGGAACAACCCAGGAACAAAACTGATGCTCAAGAAGGCTTGAGTCCTCCTTAAGGACCTCCTCACATCTGCCTACACAATTCTGGGCAAGTTATGCATCCACATGTCTTTGTTTCTCTTGTCACATAATGAGCAAAACAGCAGAGAGAATAATTAATGCATCAATTAAAACTTTTGATGGTTTGCTTCTACAATACCTTACATTTGCTGTCCCCAGCTTAACTGAAACTGGTACCTTTAATGTTAAAAATGGAAAATTAGCTCTTCTCTGAATGCAAATATATAGGCAAACATCCATCATGGTACACAGATTTCAACTATGTCACTGTCTAGAAAGAGAAAGCAAGAGAAATCACACTATCAGAAAAGAAACTTGAGACATCTAGTTTGTGCTGACTCTTAATCTCAGAAGCCAACGCCTACATAAAATAGACACATACAGCTATTTTATCTCCCTCCTCCTATGTTGTTTAATTTACCATTCAGGAAAATTCAGGAAACAGTATTTCTGGAATTTTTATAGGATTTCCCATCTTCTGGAGAGACACTGATGAAATAAGTGAAGTCCACCATAAGGCGGGGAAAAAAGGCTCTGTGACCATGGAGTAAAGAGCTCAAGAAGTCTAGAGCTTACTACTGCTTGGCTGAGCTTACAAGGACAACTGCCAAAATTCTGCTCTCTTCATACTTAAATGCTTTCCATACCTTTCCAACCAGACCATGACAAATCCAGCCCAATCCCTTCACAAGAAAATAGGCTGGTTTCTATAATGAAACTCTCTTTCACAAGGTGAAAAAGTAGAAACAGAGGAAAAAAAAAGTCATTGTTGATTCTCCAAGTTTTCATCTAGAATATGCTATCCCCTAAAAATCCATTAGATAGTTTACTACTCACATTAATAAACCATGATTACTCCTCGCTTTATGCACATAATGAACAGGAAGAGCTGACACAATACAATTATCAGAGATCATCACCTGACAAAAAGTTACTTCTATCACACTGGGCAAGAAAAGGGAAGAAAAAGAGAACTGGGTGCTAGGTTTTTTTTTTATTTTTCTTTATAACTGTTCCCCTTTCTTTCCTTCCTAGCAAGAAAAAAAAAAAATCTGAGAAAAGTATTTTATTCCACTTCTCCTTCAGTGAAAGGAAAACTGCAGTAACTCCTCAGATGGCACACTGGAAACAGAAAATTATGCAGAATATATGTAAGCCTCTCATAGGACAAACAAACCATCATTCTCATTTAACACATGAGCAAACTGAGATACAGTAATATTAAGTGTTTGGCACAGAGTACAGTAATGCTAAATTATGAATGGATATTCATACATTTAAACTTTTAAGCTATACTAAAAAGTTTGAACAAATTTCTATCAAAGAACAGAGACACTTTAAGTGAACACTGTTAAAAAGACAGGTGTTTACATACACAGCCTGGACCAACATCAGCACAACAACTTCTGGTAACAACATGTTATCACAAAGAAATATCATGACTTGATATATATACTTCACTGAATATGCAAAAATTGCAAAGGATCATATGATTATAGAATCATAACGAAAAAACTCCTCACACTGTTCATAAAAGAAAATGGCAACATACAGGTAAATATCACTGCCAGACTTTTACTATACTTAATCACCACCTGCAAACAGATTCTCTTCCATAAGCTGGTATGGAACACCAAGGAATGTCTAGAGATGCCCACAATGGACCAATAAATGCTTAGTTTCATATTCCAGATACAGTTGAAGTAGTATATTCTCTCTTCTGTGGCTTTCATACTTTCGCAAGCAGTGCTGGAAAACACTGACCCCAATCAAAACTGACAGAATATTCCTCTGCTTTCTTTCTTCCAAAGACGGACCAGTTATGTAAGATGTGCCTGTAACCTTTCAAATGACTGGCTGCCCTGACACCCGGCTTGCAGAACATTGAAATCTGGCTATACAAGAAAAGATCAGTTTCAACAGAGCTCTGCTGCAAAGCAACTGACAGGACAGTGTGTAGCAGGCTTCCAAATCCCAGTACAGTCAATGTAACACACAGAGGAGGAAGGAGAGCTTTTTGGATGTGTATAGGGGAGAGAGAACAATAACCTTTTAAACACTTCATAGCTCGAAAGAGTCAGTTAAATGGGAATTTGCTAGCATATTCCCCAGCTTCAATTGGGTAACTCTGCAGTGATGGGAAAAACAGTCCATAAACCACTCAAAAAGAAAACTGAGAACTTCCCTGTTCTGAAAGTCCTGTATTGCTAGTCCTAATTCCCAGGCAGGAGATGGAGGGCTGGGGCGGCTGGGGGGTGTGGAGAATGGCTGTTTTAGGCTTTGCACTCAGCTCCTGAACACAAGCAGCACAGTGGTGTGACGTATAGCAGGGATTTCCCCACCTCCTATAGGCATGGAGGCTCAAATGATAAAAACATTCTGAAAATATACAAACAGAAAAACCCTTCTGACAACTTCTTAAAGATACAATAATCTACTCTTTCACAGGTTTTTAATAGATTGACTTGATTTTTTATGCTCATTCATTATTGAATACAGGCCACAGTTTTCCCACCATCTTCTACACAGAAAGCTGGAGACCAATGTTAAAAATGTGTAAAAACATGCATGCACAGATCTATATATATACATATTTTGTACATACGCAAACACACAAAACACATAAATATGATGTTTAAACACTTGGGGCATCAGAGGAAACTGAACACTGGGTCTAAGAGACAGCTATGGTACAATGATGCACTGGAGAGATAAGAATAGATTCCCATTTGTATAGTGAGCAAATAGTGTGAACCACATAACAAGTCAACTCATAAGCACTGCATATTCATCTCTGACAAAGCAAAAAGTCTTTCCTAGCACACAGAATTTGATACACCTGATAAAATAAAAACCACCAGGTGTACTAAGCCACTGCTAAATTCAGTGACTGAAGGAAGAGAAGCAAGAACAACATGAGTAGTTTTTGCCAATAAAACATTCACCTAACTCCATTCATCACTGAAAGGTGCTTAGCAGTTGCAAGTGCCTTTCTGCTGGCTGCCACCAGCTGCTCATTTCATATTTACTTTATTTTAGAGACACTGTGCACACAGCAGTGCAAAGCCACAGAGCAAACCTGGATGAAAATTTGGCAGGGAACAGGATGACAAACACCAGGCTGTAATTCCAAAGGAGTAAAGAAAAAAAAAGTATCAGCACTGAAATGAACCAATCTGAAATTGTCAGTTTAATCAGCTCCTGATTAAAGGCTACAGACAGACTGTGATTAGGCTATATAAACCCTGCTTTGCAATCCACAGTGGATGTGGTTTGAATTGTGGCAGCTGGGGGTGGGGGGACAGGGGGAAAAGAAGCTAAAAATACATAAAAGGTTCCTGGGGAATTTGCCAACACTCACTATAGCAATCAGTCACGTGTGTTTGTTTCACACATGGAAAAATCTAAGAACAGTGTAGAAATGGAACAGATCCAAGCCCTTTCAATACATAACTCTGATTTTAAGGTTAACTCATTCCTAAATATCCCATTTTACACTTTTTATTTTCTGAAGTACAAAATTGTATTAACATTTCATTTCCTTATAAACCACTGACACTGTAACAAACCCTTAGATGAACAAGAATTCCACATTTCTCAGTCTGCAAGCCAGAGCTAATGAAACTTTCCCTCTACCTTAGCCCACAGGACTCAGATTCTCATAGCCTAAGCACAGGTGCAAACAACTTCTTTGTTAACAATGCAGATTCTTCCCTTCCCCAAACTGAACTAGCAGAATTTTGTCATTTGGAGGACAGTGGTTTGCAGAAATTATTCATATTACAAAAATATATTTACAAAATGTTTCCTAGAGATCCATAACCACCTAATGTAAATTTAGCATAGAATCAGCATCATCAGAGCAAGAACCTAGCTGTAAACAAACAATTCACAGGAAGAGAAACAGTCTTTTTAAAAATATCTGATTTTTCTTAAGCATTTCACTAGTATACTCAAACTTAAATTCACCTTTACCTCAGACTGACTGAGCATGAAAAAAAATCAGCCTAAAACTGATTATGTGCAGGTTAGAAGGGGTGAAAAACACATCTTGAATGGCGTGGTTCTCGCAACCTCTATGCTGAGCCCACCAGCATAATACATCACAGGTACAGCACCAGTAAGCTGGCTTGGCTACAAACAAGTCTAGCATTCTTCAGGAAGAGAACAAGAAGGCTTACTGCAGAAATCCAGTTAGGTGCCAAAAAACAGAAGAGAAAAAGATAACCCAAAAGAACTTTATAAGGTTGGTAGATTTGAATGGAAACATCTTCCCAATCATCACTTGCCTTCCCATTTATAGTTTTTATGCACATTGTCTTCTTCCCCCCACAACTGCATCTTCTCAATATGTTGCACAGGCAGTCTAGGTCAACACACCATTGTGGGATGTAGGCATTATATTCGCAGAATTTTCACAGAATCACTAGGTTGGAAAGG